TCCTCGCTCGCCACACGTGGGCCCCAGGCGGTGGCGGAGTGTCCGCATCAGGGGGGCTCTCCAACCCCACCAGCCACCCTGGTCTCTGACCAGCATTTGGTCTGAGAGGGTCCCTGCCACCAGCACCACTCGTGTGCTCCACCAGGGGGCAGTGTGCTCCCCATGACCCTGAACTCTCAGAGCAGGGATTCCTGTTTTGCCCACCCCTGGCACCAGGAGAGCCAGGACACCAAACCACAGAATTAATTTCTCACCCAGATTCACTTGCCGCACGCAGGCCCCGGGGGTGTGGCGGAGGCCAGCGTGGCGGGCTTCCCTCTTTGCTCTTCGCTCGCCTCGCCGGCCTTTGCTCGCTGCTCCTGCCCGGGGCCAGCCAGCTTCGCTCCGTCACTTGGCGCCTACGTATGCAAATTAACCGCCATCTTTGTTGGCAGTTAATTTGCATATCGCCCTGATTAGCCCATGGGAAGCGTAGTGAAGGTACAGTCAATTACCCTTTTTGTCTTTTATTAGATAGGATAGACTAGAGGCCTGGTGCACAAAATTTGTGCATGGGGGGGAGGGGTTGTGTGTGTCCCTCAGCCCAGCCTGCACCCTCTCCAATCTGGGATCCCTCTCACAATCCAGGACTGCTGGTTCCCAACCACTAGCCTGCCTTCCTGCCTGATTGCCCCTAACTGCTTCTGCCTGCCAGCCTGATCACCCCCTAACCACTCCCATATCAGCCTGATCGATGCCTAACTGCTACCCTGCTGGCCCGATTGCCCCTAACTACTCCCCTGCCGGCCTGGTCACCCCTAACTGCCCTCCCCTGCCGGCCTGGTCACCCCTAACTGCCCTCCCCTGCCGGCCCAATTGCCCCCAACTGCCCTCACCTGCAGGCCTGGTTCCCCCCAACTGCCCTCCCCTGTTGGTCATCTTGTGGTGGCCATCTTGTGTGTTGGAGTGATGGTCAATTTGCATATTACTCTTTTATTAGATAGGATACTACTAAAGAGATTTAGTAACTTTTTCTCAGGTAGTACCTTATTTGGCTAGTATGAATACTAGGTTGACAAAGATTTCTAAACTAAATAAAAATGTCCCAAAAGGAAATAGAATAACACAGAAAAAAGATTAAATGAAATATTTTTGGGTTTTGTTTTGTTTTGTTTGTCTCAAAAATGTATTCCACTTACCTTGGATTTGATATCTCTATGTAACACATGTTTCTTGTGAATGTGATTTACTCCAAGGCACATTTGTGTAAACCAATTAAGTATCTGTAAGACAAAAGCACACAAATCTGCAAGAATGCAAAAACTGGTTCATGTTAACCCAAAATTCCAAAGAATGGTCTCTAGGCCTTAGTTTTGCATAATGTAAACATAGAACTCCTAAAAATCACATAGTTTGACTAAAATTCAGTGTTTTTCTGCAGAAAGTCAGAAAAGCTGTGAGTCCATGTTTCATCATTTTATGTGTTATACAAATAGCAATTTATTTTAATAAAACTCCCACTGTATTTTTCTGGTATTACAACCAAATAAAAGTATTTTTTTAAATATATTTTTTATTGATTTCAGAGAGGAAGAAAGAGGGAGAGGGAGAAAGAAATAGAAACATCAATGATGAGAGAGAATCATTGATTGGCTGCCTCCTGCACACCCTACACAGGGGATTGAGCCAGCAACCCGGGTATATGCCCTGACTGGGAATCAAACCATGTTCTCCTGGTTCAACCACTGAGCCATGTCGGCCAGGCTAAAAGTATTTCTTAAATACACATACACCACTTATAAATGAATATGGTACAATTTTATAGTGTAATCATTACATCAGATTTTCATTCCTTTTTCAGAATGTTTATATTAATATTAAAGAATTTAATTATATTATCAACAATCCTTTGAGGTCAGTATTCTGCTTATAAACCCCCAGTCAATAGCAGCCAGAATTTCCAGGTGCCTACAATTAAATGTCAAACTAATTTTTTTTTTCTTTTTGCTATGGAGATTCATCCATTTGAAGCCAAGGTTGACTTCCTTTTATCGAACCATTATTTTTAACAAAACAACTTCTAAATAAAAATACTTTTACCAACAGTTTTATAACATGTTATACCCTTAAACAAATTAAATCCCACTAAAGCTGTTTATTTTGTTTCCTTAGTCAATTCATTCAAATAATATTAATATGCAATTTTCCATTAAAAAGACAGTAGTACTAGACTTAAGGAAATATGCTAAACTTTGGAAGGAAAAAGACTGAGAATAGGTACTCCCAAGAAACAGAAATGTGGACTTCACTTTTTTCATGACCTAGAAATACAAAATAAATCCATCCACCTTTAAAATTTAAATACAACAAAAATCAAAAATTTAAATATCTACAAAATATGACAAGTAATACAATTTTGAAAATGTTCTAAACATGGAAGTTTTATTCCTTGATATTTTATAAGCTTTTATCTATTTTACTTCCTAAAAGCATCTCAGGCAGCCACATCCTGACAACAGTAAGCACAGATACAGAAATGAAGCCTTTCTAACTAGTGTGTCAAATAATCACAGATACCAATGCTTTCATTTTAACTCACACAGATTTTATGAGAAAAGTTGCTTCTAAATCTTGAGGCAAACTATGTAAGTCAGTCTCTTACCATATCTTCAGGAAACAACTTTCCTTTTTGATGTTTAATCTTTTGCATTAGGTCCCCTTCATCGCAATATTCCATCACAATATAGAGATGTCCTTCAGCTAAAGCAAATATAAGACTCTTTATGAAAGTGTGGTAGCCATAAATCAAATTCAGACATGCACATATCTGGGGGGAATTCATATTTACCTTCAAATGACTCTTTAAAGGCAACAATATTGGGGTGTTTCATTTTGGCTAACAGAACAGCCTCCTTCCTAGAATTCTGTGTATCAGAGAAAGACTAGAAGAATATTTTAAATAAGTATAAATGTAATACTTCATTTGACAGTAGACAGCTTCACAATAATACAGAGTTCATATGACATTTTTTCCCCCCTTGGGGTTGGGTGTGGGGGGCAGTGAAGGATTAAAGAAGACAGACAAGAGGATAAAGCTGGGGCTAGGTGGGACACTGCTCTTGGATGGAGAGACAGTGCCCTGACATTTCAATGCCAAACACAGTTTTACAGGACTGTACTTTCACCCACGTGAAGTTTATAAAACTCTAAGAGTCAACATGATTTTTCAACTATGGCTATATTTTGCATGCTTAAGCTGATATATCCTTACAAGTATGGAATGTAAACTAGCTTTAACATCAGCCTAAGTATAACCTGATTTTGAGAGCCAGTGCCATCAACAATAATAGTATATCCTTAAAGCAAAATCAGAGATTTTGTGTCTTAATAGTCTGCATTACTTTGTCCACTGGCCCAGATAAAAAAGAATACTCTGGTGTATTACTACAGCACAGATGGACAAAGACCACATGCAAAGAAAGTTTCCAAGACTGTTTATCCCCTGACTTACTCTATGAGGATGACTTACCTTACAATTAAGAAACAAGGATCCTCACACCGGCAACATTGGCACCAACTGGTAATTTGTTAAAAATGAAAATTCACAGACCCAACCCAGACCTCCTCAAGCAGAAACTAGGGGGACGGGGAGGAGGGTGAAGCCCAGCAATTGATGTTTTAACAAACCTCCGGGTGATTCTGATGCCTATTCAAGTTTGAGAATCACGAAACAAGGTCAAGAATGCAGTGAGGAGGCAATAGCACTTTGGGATTTTATTAAAAAAAAAAATTCTTTTTCAAAAATTGATCAAAACAGTATTAAGCAGGCTTCATGGCATGGATTCTTTCATGTGCAACTATGATGCATAGTGATAAATAGTGATACCAGTAGATATCACATTCATCATCATACAGGGAAATAAAACCTATCAACTGAACAGGTTCCCTGTTACCAAAGGTTAGCATTCTAGGTCTTTGCTTGTCATTGTATTTTTATGTTCCTTTTTCATCAATATTGCACCTGGGTAGTTTCTGACAAAGACTCCCTACACCCTTAGGTATACAAAATTAGAAATTATTACAAATTATTCTCATTGAGATAAACAGCAATTGTCACTTTTGACTATTTTTCTCCCTTTTGTTAATTACAATATCCTAAGAACCACATAAAGTATATCAAGACCTTGTAAAGCTAGTGAGTAAAGAAACCCATAACATCTGATGCACTGAGCAGCAACTCCATGTTAACTCTCCAGAACTTGTTCTCTAATACAAATTACTTGTACACTTTCAACATGAGCTAATTTTTTTAGCAGTGACCTTGGGAAGCCTTATTTCCTTCATGGCAAACATCCGATTACTGCTTTCCTGCTGAACCAAAAGGGCTCTGCCGAAGGAGCCCTCCCCGATCACTCTCAGGACTGTGTAGCCATCCACGCTGGGCACCCCTACGCAGCCCGGCTCCATTCTCGCAGTCTCCACAGGTTCTCCCAAACTATATTAAAAAACAGAAACAGTTGAGAATTACATTTATTATCAAAAGGCAGAATTAATTCAAAGTAGCTCTAATCACATGACAGGACAATAGCAACTTATTCCTTTATTCTTTCAACAGTTTGATACCGAGCACCTGCTCCAGCTTTTATAATCCTGTGCAAATCTCTCGTCATTCCTGCCCTCACAGACACCCAATGCAGATGGGACCACAGATCTCAACAAATGTAGGGTAGTGAGTCTTACAGATAGAGCTACTCTGGCATCCAGCAGAAATATCCAGGTGAAAAGTTAGAAAAATGATATTTAAGCTGAAGCCTGAAGGATGAATGTAAGCTGGCTAGGCAAAGAGGGGGGAAAGAGTGATGGAGGGAATCACATATTTAGGAGCAAGAGATTGTGTTCAGTTCAAAGAATTGAAAGAGGACTGTAACAGGCTGGTAAAGCAGATAGGGCCTGTCTGAAGGCCATTGTAAGCCAAGCTCAGGTTGCTGGATTTCATCCTTGGGGTAATTAATAGGTTGTCTCCGAAGGGTTTTAACCAAGACAGCAATATGATCATATCTGCATATTAATACAATCACTCGCTCTGGCTGCAGAGAGAATAGACTACACAGGGGAGGGGCAGGAGGGCCAGAGGGCCAGAGTGGAGACTCCAATAGAAAAGGTAGGGAAATGATGATGGAATGGAATAGGATGGTGGCAACGGATATAAAGAAAATAGGAAGGAAATGTGTAGAAAGAATTGACAAGATTTCTGGTGACAGATTTATGGACAAGCAGGGAGAAGGGGACAAGGTAGACTCCCAGTTTCCTGGTGTAAACTGAATAAATGATGGTATCATTCCCCGAAAAAGAGGAAAGTCAGAATGGTTGTGTGCATGGCTTTTGTTTGATTTTTCTGGCCGAGGGAATGTGACAGGGATGTGGAAAGGCATGTTGATTTGGAGGTGCCTGGCACTAACAAGAGATATTAAACAGTCTTTGAACTCAGTCCCCCCTTCTGTACTTCCAAGATAAAGCAGCTAAGTTGTATTGCTTAAGATGTAAGAGAGAATAAATAAAAAATTCCTAATACTTTGGTACAAAAGGAGGCCCCAAATAAAGGGCCGCTATTATTATCATCATTGAAACCTTAGAAAGGTGATCCTTTTTTTTTTATTACAGAAAAAACACTGGATGAGTTTACTTACTTTTCAGAAAGCTTATTTGTAGTGGTTTATTTATTTTTAAATCACACCACAAGGAATTATGAGGCACAGAGGGCAAGGCAGGTAAAGCAAAAATCACTAAGCAAAAACTAACAGTGATGTGGAAATGCCAGAAGCGGGATCACCGGGGAGACACAGGTGAGTTGAGAATCTGGTGCGCGCGGGGTGACCGCACCATGGAGACCAGGCATTCAGTTCACCCGCGACCCAATCCGGTCTCCCGGGCACCACGCTCCCGGGCACCACGCTCGGGGGCGGCCCCCACCGCGCCCCCGGGGTTGGGGAGCTGCGGCCGGCGGCCTGCCCGGAGGCGTCCAGCGTCTGGAGCGCGACCCCCGCTCGCCTCCACCTCGTGTGGGCGCCGCCCGCGCCCCGAACCCCACGCGGGGACCACCCGCCCGGCCCTCGCCCCAGAGGCGGCCAGCAGGACCGACCGCTCACCCGCTCCTCCGACCACCTCGGCTCCTCCGCCCCCGCGACCGGCGCTTCCGGGGCGGCGCCCGTTGCCGGCCAGGGAGCTTCCCGGGTCTGGCGGGAGGCGCTGGTCTCGGAGAAGGCGGGGCCAGGAAAGGCGCGTTTGGACACTGGTTTCATGTGGCTCTAGAACAGGAAAACTGTTCCCCAGTAACTTCAGTTTGTCTCCAGTTTAAGGGAACAGCCCATGTAGATAAATTGCAGGGGCACAGCACTCAGCTCCAGGGCTGTGACCTCCGGCTGAACAGTGCCCCTCAGAGATGCCCACATCCCACTCCTTGGAATCTGTGCATGTGTTAAGTTACATGGCAAAGGGGAATTAAACCTGCAGATAGAATTAAAATTGCCGACCAGCTAACTTTAAAATGTGGAGATTATTTTTGGGT